TAATTGGGTCCCAAGCCTAACTTTGGGAACCAAAATGCAGTGGTTCCCAAACTTTTCAGCTTTTGACCCACAAAATAACAGTAGCAGAGACCTGAGCCCCCAGCTATTTTTGGATGATAAACATTTGTATCAGGTCAACAAGACATGGGCATAGTAACAATATTTTTATACTACTTTTATCCATTTTAAATAGACTAACCTCACTCATTTGTAACAACTAAGGCAAAAATGTAATTAATTCAGAAACTTTTTTCAGGACCCCACCTTGATGTTTTGGGACCCACTTTAGGTCCCAACCCCAACTTTGGGAAACACTGCTTTAGGGGAACTGTGCCCACCACTGTTAATATGTATAGCTAATACTGACCAAGTCTTTGTGTGAGTGTGGGTTTAAGAAGGCAGATCGCTAACATTAGCTAGCTATCCTTGCTAACATCACTTACACATAGATTTTTTTGTGCTTTTTAAGTGATGATAAAAGTTTGATGTAGTCCCCACCAAGAATACTCAATTAGCAACGAGTCACGGTTGGATTTGAATCAGTTTGTTTTACGTTTACTGAAAGCAAAGATGTTAATGAATAAATTGGATAATGTTTGGGCAATTTAGAGATATTTCCACATCATGACTGGTCTTGAAATAAAATCAGAGCCCTCGATGTCTGASACGAGACTGATTACCAATGCAGTCGAGTCCAAGACGACACTGAGACCATCATAAAGACCGGTCCTGATTACTACAATGCTAGCGCCCAGTATAAGCTGTATTACAAAGAAGAATTGYTGCAACAAAGAAATAATCTGCCAAAAACTAATGTCCTTACTTTTTGTGCTCAGGATGGTTTTTATTTTTGCTGCATGACATCATGATCCTCGTGCTACAACAAGCCTAGTGTAGACTTTACCTCTTCAGGCAGTGTGACAGAAATACCCAATTCCGTTTTCTCTGGCACCGAAACCTTTTCAATCCAGGTCTCAGAGCGGAAATTTCTGGAAACATCTTATCGAAAACGCAGAAAAGTCAATCCAGTGCACTACGATTGCAGTCAGAAGTTGTTATGCAAACACATGAGTGGATCGATGTTTTAACGCCGCGCCGCTCCAACTCTTCTTGGCGTTCACTTCCTKTCGGGCAGCAGGACTGAAACGCAGGAAACTTTGAAGTGTTTTACATTCAGAAACAGGTTTTCGTTCCTTTCGTCTCAGGTTTGCCTCTTCAAGTCCATACCTGTGCTCTCCTGCACAGAGTTTCCGAGCCGGTCGACAGTCCTCTGAAACCAGTTTGTTCTGCGTGCATTAAAGAATTCCAGTTGGACCCAGYAGCAGCAGTGAAAGCAGCTTTCATCAGGCTGCGCAGTGGCTCTCGCTCAGCATACTGATTAGTGTGTGTTTGTGCACGTGTGTATATGTTTTTCTCTCCAGTCTTTTTAGGCACAATTCAGGGTTCTTGATAAAAATGAGGCCATGTTTTTGTTTACTCAGAGTTGCACCTTGCTGTGTGTTCGTACAGCGARCGGCAGGTTTCCCGGTCCAGACTCTGCCAGTTCATCACTCTGGTTGTGATATAAAACAGAGCCAGTGAAGCTGAACGAACACACACACACACACTGCACTGCGTCCTGTCCTGCAGTGCGCTCGCTAACAACACAAATCCTTCCAACGCAGGACTGTCGGCTTCAGTTCTGCAAATGCATCAACCAAGCTTTTTCTCCTCCTCGAGCCTTTAAAGCATTTAACTTTCCTTCTTAATAAACCTTTACGTCTTCATTTATTTCAAATATATTCCTCCTTTTCCTCCTCTCGCTTCACGCTGCAACGTCCCTGATGAGACTGAGCTCATGAAACGTTCAGGAACGTCAGTTTTTTTCTTTAAAAACACATTTATTTATCGACTTCTCTTCTAGTGGTGATGAGGAGATGGTTGTCAAGATGGCTGCCACTATCACCTAGCYTATTAAAAATAACACAAACGGCTTCAACTCTGTCAGTTTTACAGATGTGGAGGTAAAATTTTCCGTGGTAGTTGCTGAGAGTCGTTCACGTCTCCTGCTCTGAGCGTGTCATATCAGATTGTTTTCAGGTTTGACCAAAGCTCCAAACGTAATCTAGAACCGTGTCCTGAAAAGTGTCAGGCTTTTTATTTAGTTTTTAATGTATTTTTTACTGAAACTGCTGACGCTCAGAAGCTGAATGAAGCTTGTTCAGCAATCGTTTTGCAGAGTTTTGTAAAACTCTGTTCTGCTCCTGGACCTGTGTTGTTGTTGTTGTTGTTGTTGTTTTAATTTATCTGGACTTTAGGCTGCTACTTTGTCCTGCAGTCATGACTGAGGGTTTGCACAACCCACAAACCCACAGCGATCTGCTGATCTGCTGCCCTGTGACAGTTACTGTTGTGTGACTCAGAAGAAGCAGTGCTCTGGCAGAGTTTGGAAACGTTTCCACGCTGCTCAGTTTCAGGCCTGAGACCCAGCCGGGCCTGTCGATATAAAACAGCAGGTTTTATTTAGGTGGAAAATGATAAAATCTTGTAAAGATTAAAATGCAAGTGACAAGTAAAAGCTTTAACAAAGTTATGTTTTTGTTTGGAAAACCTACCTGATGGACTGGAGACCTGTCAATCATTATTGTTGCTACATCTGCTTAATTTGAGCCTGGTGAAAAGGCAGAATCTATAAAATGAGCTCATTTTGTAATTATTTTATTAAGTTTGTCTTTTTCTCTTGTAGTCTGACAGGATGTGGTTGTGTGTTTTTTGGATTTCACGTCTGTAGCTGCTCTGTGAGGCGTGTAGCTGAACATTCGATGCTTACGCAAAGTGTGTACAGTGCAAGCGTCTGACTGAACCGCACCACGGCCGTTATGTTTGTGTGAAAAGCTGCAGTCAGGACTGCTTTTTCCACCAGCGCCCTCGTCACCACAGGCTGCCGGGCGAGCCACTGAGGAGCTCAGTGTCTGAACGGGACAGAGGCCGGATTGTCCCGGTTCACCACTGGACACACAAACTGKACCCGGTTCAGCCGCAGTCTGCCTGGCATCCATCGACCTCACAGTTCAGTCCTGGTGTGAAAYGTTTGTGTGATGGAAAAATCTGGAAAGGTCACGGCTTCTTCTTTTCTCCTGTTTGTCACTGATCATCTCCTTCTGCCTGTTTATCTACAAGCTGAATGTTATTTTTTTATGAGAGGCAGATTTTGTATCGATCATGGGATTGGATAAGTCTGCACTCAGGTTTCTACACCAGTTCGTACTACAGAACAAAAGGTTTTTTTCTAATATTCCTTTTAGAAACATCCTCTGTGTAAAAACCACAGGATCAGATCAAGTTTTCTGGCCATTAAAATATAAATATCGTGTAGTTAGGTCCATATCTATTTGGACCTGTTTACTGAAACATATTCAAGTAATAGTTAAATATAATTATAGTTATATATAAAGGACATAAAGTCCAGACTTTCAGCTTTTATTTGAGGGTATCCACATTAAAATTGGATGAAGGCTTTAGGAGTTCAGCCCCCCAGCTACCCTGCTTTTAAAACGACTTATTGGGTGATACTGGTGAAGAAATTTATAGTTATTATAGATTAGTACTGATGTTAGAAAACAACACCAGAGTATTAGGGTTTCCTTTTTATAATACTTGTATAATGTTTGATCTATTATATGTTAATTGAAATAGAGTAGATACATGTCCGAATTATAAACAACACATAAGTGAACCGTTTTAAAACATTAGGGTGAGGTCTTTGTCTGAATGCCTGTGATTCAGCCGTAGGCCAGTAGGGGGCGAACTCAGGCATTGAAGAATCGTGTATAAAAACATGCACTTCCTGTATTTGAGTCAGTGTGGTTTTGCTTGTCAGCCCGGTGACAAATAAACCTCACTCTGATCTAGAATTCTGGTGTTGTATGACCATATTCCTTTTACAAATCAATTTATTTAACTATTGTGTTTTAATCTGACTTCAGTCAATACTGAACACGTATTTTTTACACTGGTGTAAAAAATAAAAGTACCACAATTAATTGTGGCATTCAGTTGACAACAATATAGATGAATAGTTGCACTTGAATGTGGCTGAAGTTGTGGCTTTTGTTTTCCTCGTACTCTGGTTTATGTCGGAGTTTCAGGTGATTAAACAAGTTTCTAAAGTTAGGGGATTAATTGCAGTAACTGCAACGTGGCAAATATTAATTGACAGTTTTCCYGACAAATAATTGCAYGCTATATGATTTTGCCCAACCTTAAACAAAAAGTGATTGGACGATTGACTCGAAGGGTATTTCATGGGCAGGTGTGGGCATCTCCTTCGTTAAGTCRTTCTCAGTGACGCAGATGAAAGGATTTGAGGTGTGGTGCTTGCATTAGGAAGATTTTGCTGTGAAGAAAACGTGCGGTCAAAGGAGCATCCTGCAAAAACAAGAAAAATAAAACATCAGAGAAATTGCTCCATTATTAGGAGAGGTAAAAGCTACAGTTTGCCAACAAAGATGTTATTAGAAATGAACATTTATTTACAATTATTTAACTTGTTCAATTACTTTTAAGTTTCAACTGCATCTGAAATGTTTGGTTCAAACTTCACTGTGGTAAAGTACAGAACCAGAAATTAGGAAAACATTTCTGTCTAAATAAATTTGGACCTAACGGTCGTTGGTGCCTTTTTAAGAGGTTYAGATTTGTGCTTTAAAAACTGTAGTTCTTCTTAATAACCTTTTACATTTCCATAAATAAAGACAAACAAACCTGGACCTGAACTTCTGGATTTGAGCAGATGTCATTTGTTGAAAGAGTTCCCTCGCTCACGTCAGAGCGTCTTCAGGTTGTCATGAACCGGACAGATCTAAGCTCATCAGGGATTCGCGACTATAAAAATGAGGATTAAGTCAAATTTGGTCAAAATGATCCAATTACATCTTCAGATTCCTGCTTTAAAAGCTACATTTTGATACCTGGATCGTTCTATCATAAATGGAACTAGAGATGTGACCTAATTTGTCTTGCAGGTTATGATAATACATTAATATTTGGTCTGAATCCTAATTTTATGTAATTTTTATGGGGAATTTTTCATTTCATTATAAAGAGGAAATCTCAAATATTATTTGAATATTGACATTTCCCAGTTGGAAAGAAACAAAAACATTTCTAGCTCAAGGGAAAATCTCAAAATTTAAAGGCATTTTTCCTCAANATTTGTCTTATTGGTTACGATAATACATTGATATTTGGTCTGAATCTTAATTTTATGTCATTTTAATGAGGGATTTTTCATTTCATTATAAAGAGGAAATCTCAGATATTATTTGAATATTGACATTTCCCAGTTGGAAAGAAACAAAAACATTTCTAGCTCAAGGGAAAATCTCAAAATTTAAAGGCATTTTTCCTCAAAATCTGGATTTTTTTATTGCTACTGCTAAAAAAATGTGCTTCTATTTTACACAGTTCATTCACATGATACATTGATAAAAGGCTGATTTGTTATATTTTTGATGAAATKAATTTTTTTATAAGTGTTTCARTCAAAACACCRTATTTGCCCATTTCTCCATAAACCACGTTTAGACTTACTGCTYGTTTCGATGTCATGGCTCACAAATGTCGTCCAAAACAGAGGAAGTGACAAAGGAAACTAAAACAATGCAGCTGACCTGTGATGGGATCTGTGTCAGATGTTGTTTCTGAACCTTTAGTTCCAGTTTGAAGTCACCAGTACGACATAAAAGTCCAGTTTAGCTGTGGTTCTTATATAAAGATCCTTTAGTTCAGGCGGTTCTGGACATGTTCTAACCTGGTTCCTCTCACTCACAGGCACATGGACTCCCTTCAACCCAGTGACGGTGCGCTCAATCATCGGTAAGTCAGAGCTGACGCTGGGTTTCACACTACTTCCTCTTGTTTTTTTTTTATTACTCGGGTTGTTTGTCTCCTCAACGATCATATTAAGTCGTTACGTGGCCGAGGCCCCGACAGAGCTGCTCGTTGTGAGAAAGTGCTGCTTTAGAGGAAAACTGCTGCCGTCAGTAAAAACCTCATCCTGGGGTGAAACCTGGTCACAGRCAGCAGCTGCCATTTGCTCCAAACTCTAAATATCGATCTGGGAGAAATCTCAAGTTACAGACTCAGCTCTGCAGTGGATCTGGGAACCTGCAGGTCTGATTAGTTACACATGCACAGCAGTGGCTGCAGCTCGTTACATCGAAAATCACATTTCAGATACAAGCTTTCAATTTAGAGCTACACCAAAGAATATTTAGCTTTGTGCTGCTGTATAAAACCACACCATTAAGTACATCTATTTTAGTGTACGTCTTTCTGCACGTAACTCCTTCCACAAGTTTTGTGCTGTTTTAACATTTCCTAAAACAAAACAATCAACTCATTTATGCTTTGGGAGCTATGGATGTAGGTAATCTGTTTAAACTTTTTCAGCTTAGCTTTCTTGACTGCTTTTTTTTCTCATTGAAATTGAAAGGAGCTGTATTCAACGTCTTTCCTTCAGCTTTTTCTTTTTGCTAATTGTAGCTTTTTCTGCTATTTCAGTTATCTTTCTGCTTTTCTACTGTTAATTAAACTTTTTGTGATATTTCTAAATTTTTATGCTGATTTAATCTTTTTATGCTTTTTAAGCTGCAGCTAATTTTAGCTTATTTCTTCTAACTTCAATTTTTTGTGATAATTTCAGCTTCTCCCTGCTTAATTCAGCAAATATATTCTTTTCCACTTCTTTGAGCAAATTTAAATGTTTTCAAGCTATTTTCAGCTCCTTTAGCTATTTTATCACAAATGCATTTTTTTTGTTTTTCATTTTTGTGCTAATTTAAGCATTTAAACAGTTTTTTGCTTTTTAATCTACAGCTAATTTTAGCTTATTTCTACTAACTTCACTTTTTTATTATTTCAGCTTCTTACTGTTTAATTCAGCAAACATGTGCTTTTTCAATCTAATTTTAAGCTATTTTCAGGTTCTTTAGCTGTTTTATTACAAATGGCTAATTTTTCTGCAAATKTAGATATTTTTGTACTTATTTCTTAGTTTTTATGCTAATTTAAGCATTTAAGCTAAAATTAACTATAGCTTAAAAGGCAGAAAAACAGCTTATTTCAACTAACTTCACTTTTTGTTATAATTAAAGCTTCTCACTGCTTAATTCAGCAAACATATGCTCCTTCTGCTTCTTTGAGTAAAAATAAGTTTTTTATGCTAATTGTTATAGCTACTTCAGCTCCTTTAGCTATTTTATCACAAATTGCAACTTTTTTTGTTTTTCTGCTAATGTAAGCGTTTTTGTTGTCCTGTAGTGTCGGTCTGCTAATTCCAACTTGTTTTTTTGCTACATTTCTGCTCTTTTCAACTTTTTGACACTTTTTTTTCTGATTTTTGTCTTTTTTTTCCTACTTTCAGCAGGTGTCAGTTGTTCAAACTGAACTCACATTAGCAGTTTTGTTATTAAACATTTTCAGCTTCTTTAGCTTTTCAGCTAATTTTTTCAGCAGTAGGTTTTTACACTGCATTTTCACAGGAAGTGCAAATTGTCATAAAACTTGTCACGTTTGCTCCTTTGTGACTTTAAGTGTTAATCCTTCTCAACACTCAGTAAATCCATTGTTTTATATTCCTGCAGCARGAAGCTCATCCTGCGATAACGCTCTCTTTGTTGGGAGGTAATTGGATCGATCGGGACTCAAAGCTGCTTTCTTCCTCAGTTTTAATTTACGAAGCAGCCGATTTGATCCGCGTGAAAGAAAGGTTGGAGCGGTCGACTGAAGCTCTGTTTTTTTTCTCTACAGCCATGTTCGACAGGGAAAACAAAGGCGGCGTGAACTTCAACGAGTTCGCCGGCGTGTGGAAGTACATCACAGACTGGCAGAACATCTTCAGGAACTACGACAGGGACAACTCSGGCTTCATCGACAGGAACGAGCTCAAGCTGGCGCTGACCGGATTCGGTGAGCAGCAGTTTGTTTTTTGTGTTTTTAGCGCTCGGTTGTGGTGGTGGTGGAGGGGCGTTTCAGAAGGCGGGTACAGGGTGGAGCTCTTCTTTTCCTCGTTACAATCATTCAGCTGGAACTTTTTCAAGAGTTTACATTTATTATCAGCATCAGTTCAAATGCAAATAAAGTTTGAGACGACCGTAGCATATAAAACACGTTCTGCTTCTGTCCGTCTACATGGCTTTCCACTGTTCTGCTGAGATCAATACAAAAACAAAAAAACAAAACAAAAAAAAAAACAGGTTTTGAACATTTCAGGATGCTTAGAAATAATAAATGTTATTGATGCATCTTTGTTGTTGTGCTCAGGCTATCGTCTATCCGACCAGTTTTACAGCACGCTGATAGAGAAGTTTGACCGGCAGAGGAAGGGCCAGGTGGCTTTTGATGACTTCATCCAGTGCTGTATTGTATTACAGGTAAACCAATCAAAACAATTGTTTTATGAGTCATCTGTGTTTGTCGTAACTTCAAGCTGCTTTTTTTTTGTACTAATTTAGTGTGAACTTTTCTCTCACACAACCTCAGTGAAGACTGGACACCATCAATCTAATCATGTAGTCAAATCAGTTTAAAATTCTAAATAAAAACAAAGGACGTCTGCAAGAGATAAAATCTGCAGATAGGTGCGGGTAAACAGGTTTCCACAATACCCTGACAAAAAACAGTCACAATATCTTTGTGACTGTTCAGCTCAATTTACAAAATAAGGGTCCTGCAGGCTGTGTCCATCACACAAGTTTATTTTTAAACTACTGCAAGTCCTCAGGTTGAAGTGCTAACACATGCTAACACTCATTGTGTCTAAACGAGCGTAAAGAAAACGCCAAGCGGAGGTTTTATTCCCACATCAGAGCGCAGGTGAGCAGACGGCTGAAGGAAACGATAACAATGAACTTTACAACCTTGCATTTTTTAATTTAAAAGTCTCAGTCACCACACTAGCAGGGGCAGATCACAACACGAGACTAGCAGGAAGCACTTAGTCCCGTCCGCATGCAGTGGAGATCCGTTGTCAGATTTCAAACCAGAGAACCTGGAACCACTGATCTGAATTACTGGACCGGACATCATGTGACTGAACTCCACACAGGTGCCAGTGCTCTGCATTGAGTCGAGACTCAGGAACATCCATGGATAGTTGTGAAAAAAATTACCACTTTTTTTAATTCCACAATCTTTGTAAGGTTACTAGAATACTGAATTATTATTATTTTAAATAAGTTTTTATTTTTGAGATATGACATGTCCTCTACAGTGGACATCAGAACACCGTACATGTGAAACTGAACCTTCATGGTCATCAATTAATCCCAAAGAAAATACCAAAAAGTCAAAATAAGAATGAGTTTAACATCTGTATAACTGTCAATCATCATTTTTTTCTTCTTTTTTGCTTTGTTGTGCTTRTTTGGTAAGATACGTTAAAAAGTAATTCCCTTTATTCAAACTTTAATACCTAACACTGTGTGCACATCACATGTGTTTTACTTTTGCAGTCAGATCTGTGACACCTTGATGCATGTTTTATTTACTATCCTGGAAGATGGATCGCATCATAGTGTCTCAGAGCTGCAGTTGGCTGTGGTGTCTAAACATTTGATGCAGAATAGACAATAGTGGTGTAAGAAAATATCGATACACTGAAATATCACGATATTTCATT